TGGGATAATGAAAAAGTCTTAATTAGCTCTATTGTCTGTGAAGTACTACTTGTTTACCACGTATGAACTGAAAATGACTAAAAAATCAATAAGACTGACATAATATGTGATTAGCTTGCTTTTTAGTGTATATTTTTGCTTATATACACAGAGCACGTCATGATTGACAGTTTAGAGCATCTATAAAAGATGCTTGGTGTGCAATGTCAAACCATGCACCTGCAAGAAACTGACTTAATGATAGACTACTCCACTGAAGCAGTGCTGCAATAGGAGGTGTGTGGTGTGAACACACAAATGTCCAGGAATACACAATATTCACACCAACTTCCTAGTGTAGGGTCAACTTGATAGGAAAAAAATGTGACCTCTACACCAAAGAAGGGTTGTTCAGTGCACAATGAATAAAGTCAGCTAACATTGTTGGGTCACAGAGGTTGTGTGTAGAAGTTCAGCATTACACTTCAGTCTGAAATCTCCAGAGGTCTCCAGAGAAGAAAAGCATAGAGATATGTATTCTTATTTTCTGTGATTTAATTTCTCTGCTGCTAAATATTGTGGTCGCAATGTTTCACTTTGACCCGCCTCTATTGTTTCAGGCTGCTGCCACATTTGGCTTCAATATTATTCTTATCTTGAAGGCAGAGTTGGCAAGGTAGTGACTTTCATCCCTAAGTTGAATGACAGAAAAAATATGATTCGCCCCTCTATTTTTACATTCGCTTCGTATTAATTGAATACTCTAATTTAGTGTATACCATGTGTACTGTTTTTTTTTTTTTTACCAAAGTTAATGGTTTGAATCGGCTGAGTCAAAGTTATTTCAGTACACCAACCGAACGAATGTGGAAGAACCCGAAAAGACTAGCCCAAGTTTGGAAACCATTACAGATATTATATTTTATTGCAAACTCTGATGATCGTCTTGATTAATTTTATCAAGAAACATTCAAACTAGAGTCTTTGCTTTAATATTAATATCAGCTCCCTCAGAGCTGCAAAGGACACTAAACAGGAGCTTTCATAAGACTTGTAACGGGTGACTTCC